TACCCTAACTATGACAATCGATTCAGAAAGTCAGGCTACAGTTCCTTACTTGCAAAGGGATATATTAGAGCTTGCAGCTGGTGAAAATTCAAAACTCTGTTCTCTGTAAATAAATGTATGAATACAGAAAAGTTGAATCCAGAAATGTAATGTTATGGCCACATATTAGTCATTGCTAAACAAGTTGTTAATTAGAGTGTTGTATATAAGCATATGAGAGTTATAGACTAGGCCTACTGGTGTGTCTCAATAAATGGGAAAATCTTAAATGGGTTAATCAATTTCAGCACCTAATTGAAAATAAAAATGTATATGTTAAGTTGATTGGTACAGTGATGTATTCCAATTGCTATTTTCCTGTATTTCTATCAATAATGCATAATTGTTCACAAGTAACGAAACATCAAAATTCTTCGTTCAGGGAATAAAAAATATATTAGCTTTTGCACCATTCTCTATCATCTTTCCATCCAATTAGCTTTTTAATAATATGGGATACAGCATTGCATCACTAGGCAACCATTCCTCGACTTATAAAATGTGTGTCTTATGCAAAAAATTCAACATTTGTGGCAAACTCAATTTGTTTGTTTTTTTAGAATTAATAGAAATAACGGATTATCTCCGTTTTTTTCATTGAATCAAATCAATAACCCATTTTTTATTTTGTTATATTTCCTCATCTAGATGGAGTTTCACATTTATACATTTAGAGCATTTTTCATGTATTTTAATAGTTTTAATCAGTTTAAATTTAGAATATATGTTAGGTTGGATGCTGTTCTGAGCAACCAAAAAAAAAAAAAAAAAAAGGTATAGGTAGTGGTATAAGCTCTGCATTGATTTTAAGAAATATTAAATCAACAGTATTACCAAGGATTTTGCTGAGATCCGTGTTCTCCAGTTCTGGGTTGAGCTGCGCCAGCCGCCTGCGCTCCTCTTTGGTCCAGATGATGAAGGCGTTTAGCGGCCTCCTGACCCTCTGCTGCGCCGGGGTGGCCTTCGCTTCTGGACTGGCGCAGCTGGACTCCGAGTGGACTGACAGAGGACTGGATGGCCTGGAACCGGGGGAGCGCACCTCGCTCATCTGCTCTCCGTCCTCACTCTCCACGCATTGCTGCAAACGAGGGGCCGCATTAAAACGCATGGTTTGTTTTGATGCTTTATGCTCTGGTTGCAGGCCGCTGTCATCCTCCAGGTGATGACGAGTGACGGGATATAAGAGGCCGCTCCACCAATGGGATGCCGGGAGGAGTGGATTAAAGGTGTGAATTCTCAGGTTGGTGATGGAGCCCATCACGCCCCATTCAATCGGCCCTTAAACATTTCCCAGACTTAAAACTTTAATAAAATAAAAATAGAAAACGATTCTGACACAAATAAAAAAATTAACCAATATATGGCATTTAGCCTACCACCATAACTCAATTATATATTTACCCGTTCCCCATTTTATCTACAAAAAATAATCAAATTGCAAAAACAAAATTAATCTATTTTATTTTTATTCTACTTTTTTTTTTTATTGTGCCTTTCAAAACTAACATTAAATGCGTTTCCCCTGATCAATTTGCACATTTACTTTCTGGACATAGAATCATAGGAGCTTTTAGAGGCGGGGAGAGGAAACAAAGTTTTTCTGCACGTAGAGCTGGTTACTAATTACATTGAGCCTCTCGGTTCTTATCGGCCATTGTCAAAGTACATTTTACAGGGCTGGCACAAAAGAAGAGCGCAACATGATCAAGGCGTGTGTTTATTGCACGATTAAAGCGCACAAATATTTGCTCAGCGTTCAAGAAGAAAAAAAGAAAGATGATACTCTGTGCAAAGGGAGGGTGATTAGTTTAAAGGGAAAAAACCCCCAGAAAATTTACTTTATAAGGTTTATCAGGTTTAGAGAGTTAAGAGAAAGGTTGCAAGTTTAATTTAAGCATCGAAACTGCTGGAAAATTCTATCAAATTTTCAAAATTTCATTAGAATTTTTCTCAAATATAAATATATATATATATTTAAGTTTTGATAGTTTGTCTTCTTAATGAAGAAACAGTCAACATATTTTAGTTAAATGTTATTTTCTATGTGAAAGTAAGCATAGATGGGATTTACATCTGAAAAGTATTTGGGTATAATCAGATTAATTGTCATCATAAGATCATAATCCTACACTTTTTATTATATAAAAGAAGCGAAGATGCATATTTAACACAAACTGTTTTATTTCTGTTTTTTTTATTTATTTATTTATCATTCCTTTCCTATGATCGTGCATTTATTTTTAATGAAAAAAGGATGTAATTGCAGGTTTTTGTGTTGTGTTACTCAAATATGCACTGTCCCTCTTTTTTTTTCCACCAACAAACATAAAATGCATAGTTTTGAATCTGCAATAGGCCAACACGCACCTGCATGTTGATTCTGCAGAGGCCTGATAAAACTGTAAATCCATACTATGCATAAATTACAGAGCAAAATAAATATAATCAATCTATAGATTTTTTTTGTTCGTCACTTGCATGTAACAGAAAATTAAACAATGCATATTTTATTTTTGGCCCTGCATAAGGCGCTGATTTAGTGACAATAATTAAATACCTATCAACCTCCATTCATTAGCTGTAGCGGTTGTCTACAGTGTGTTATGGTTGTTGTGTCGCAGCTCGTTAGAATTAGAGATTGAATCCACATCCGCAGTGCTGAACATGACGCACACTCCAATGCGCAGTGAGAACAAGCGCTAATGGATTTAATCAATTAGTTTGAAACGACCCAGCATGGATACAATAACGCAAAGTTTCGACCAACCCTCAGCTTTACATAAATCTGCACTGATTTTAAAGGTTTTGATAGTTAGCACAACTTCAGATGCTGTCAAATGGTTCAATTACTGATTGAAACCGCCATGTTGGGGCACATTTGATATGTTTATCAGTAAAATAAGTAATATTTGTTCAAAATATGATGTTCTTTTATTTAACAGATTAATTTTTTTACTTGTTTTTGGATTAAATAGTGAATTCGGCAGTTTGCAAGTGAGGTGTGTTTTTCTTTTTCTTTCTTTTTTCATCATTATCTATTTGTTTTTTAATTAAATCACAAAAAAACACAGCATCATTTTATTGTATTTCTTTCTTTTTTACTTGCCGAAAAATTAATTAAACATACAAAGGAAACAAAATTTAGGAAAAAAAACAACTAATTCAAGGTTAATGTAGATCCTGTTTCTATTTAAACTCCTTGGTCCCAGTCTGAAGTGCCAGATTATTCTTGAGCCTGTGTTGTAGAGAGATTTCCAGCGTCACTTATAGTGTTCTGTTTGCCTGATCCTGGCCTGTTTTTGTCTTCAGACCTTTGAGCCTGCCTGCCCATTTTCTGATCTGTTTGCCTGACCTGTCTTCTGACTCCTGTTGGATTCTTCTGTGTACTAAGGTGTATTTTTAGCTATTACAAAGTTTTGAGTCATTTGTTTTAACAATATAGAGAAAAAAAATGCAAAATAATAAAAACTAGCAGTTAACTTGTTGTACCTTATTTGTTTTTGGTAGTAAGAGATCAGGCTGATTGTCACATGACCAACCAACCACTTTCCTAAATAAAGAGTATTTCTTCCTGGTCCAGGTCAGAAACAATAGATCTTTAAAACTCTCTTAGGGCCCTTCGGCACTGTGGGGCCTCAAGAAAGGTCACATTCTCATAGGAGATTTTGACCAATGTTTCAGCTGTGAAAAGCAGATTAATAAATCACAATACCATCAAAAGGTACATTTATTTCAGGGATTAAATTAAAAAGCTAAAACTCCTTTAAATTCATTACACACAGATTGATCGTACATATGCATGCTTGTTAATTTTAATGATTATGGCTTCAGGTAATTGAAACCCCACATCTAGGTTAAGAAATTTACAGTATATCTCATGATACCACAACAAAATTGATATAGGAATTTTTAATGAGAAACATGTTAATGTTCGGTCTAGTGATATATGAAGTAAATGTTTTTGGCTCCTTCTGAATGTGTAGTAATGCATCAGTGCAAGGAAGTGAAATGTTAGGGTTTATTAGCAGCCTCAGCTCATCTGCATTATTGGAGCCAAAGTTTCTCATCTTTTCTTTAATATTCATAGCTTATGTAAAGGGTTTGGATCTAGTGAACTTACTTATCACCTTAATAGCACACAAATGTTTTAGTGAATAAAGCAGCTATTAATTCTTTTGTGTGGGGAGGTGCCAAGTCCTGCAGGAAAATTCAATAAATTTTGGCTATCACACCCTCTCCTTCCGGTTAAAAATCTATTGATATACTTACCAGTAGCATCCTGGGCAGGATTCTTCTATACTACAGTTTTCCAACTTACCATTCTTATGAGGTTGTCAATGACTCTTTGGTGGATAATGGTGGAATCTGCAGTCTTCCTGCGAGTTTTTAGGCCATACAATAACTTTTCTGTCATGAAAATGTGTATAATGAGCCTATGATACGTAGGTCAATGTGACCCCAAACCAACTTTAGCTTGAGGTTCTGATCAAGGACCCAAGTTTTTTTCCTATAAGTAAACGGAAGCCAACCAAAGCCGCCTGTTCGCTTCTATTCCTACTGACAGATTCTGAGAATCCATTGCTTAATCACTGACATATGCTTGAAGCAAAGCTCAATCTGCTTGATTTACTCACCTTTTTAGCTGCATAGGCCCATTGGCTCATGTTGTTTATTTGAGAACCGTGCTTTCAAATGGTTATGTGAGTGTGCAGACCTTTATTTTAAACATTCCATCAGGTTATCCAAGCTTTTATTCACCTTGAGCACCTTATCTAAATTTAATTCCTTTAACCTGTCCTTTGCTCCTGCTCTTTTAATGAAACCAATCACCAGGTTGAGAGTCAAGTATCAAAGCATTGTCTCATATCCAAACAAGCAGAGCACTCCTGTTCAATGGGCACTGTGCTTTCTGAATGAGGATTGTTCTATTCACAATGTGCTATTGTGTTGGACAGAACTCATATATGGGACACTCCTCTCTGTCTTCACTTTGCGATCAGTGATGTTCAGGCTAGGTACAGGTGGAGGTGAGCTCTTGGGCTGAAGCCATGTGGAGAAAGCAGCTTGAGTTGGATTTTTTGGGATCATCTCTTCCAACTTCCGAATTGAGGAGACTGATTATTTTGTTTCTAAAGATGATGCAATGAAAGCCACTAAAAAGCCTTTATTCCAGCGCATTCCAGTGTATTTTTTAATGGATATAAAGCAAAAACAGCTGAGGACCCTTTGGTGGAGGATGTGGAAAAAACCCCAGTAACGAAGCTCTGTATTCCAGCCCCATCTCACCACAGTGAGTCATCCATAAACAGCTGCATTGTTTCATAAAGGTGTGAAGAGGATGTAATAGTGTTGTTTCAGGTAACTATGATTTACGAAGCATGCAAAATGTGTTGCTTTGTGCTGTATTGTATGTACTCAGCAGGCCAGTATCAAGATTATGTCCCATTCTATGCAACCTCTGCTCTCCTAATCAGATGTTTAAGCACATTCAGCAGAGTTGACTGAGACCCACAAGGGTGAGTGTGAGCCTCCACATGCCCCTGTGTAAACAGCACCCTGCCCAGCCCAGCCGGCCAAGCCTGGCCCTAAACATCAGGCCAGATGAGAGGATTACATGCCCCCCTGGTGGAGGCAGGCTTAATGTCGCGTCATTACCAGAATACAATGATGCCCCCCACCACCAACCATGAGCAGAGATAAGACACAGGTTGGTCTCAGACTAACCTTGGTCAAAGTTCAGAATCTGACTTGTAACCAACTGGAAAAAGCCCATGTCTGTAAAAAAAAACCCAAAAAAGATATTAAAACGTATTAATTTTGGTTGTGAAAACATGAAAAAAAATTAATAGCTTGTAATAACTTTATACACGTTTTACCAAAAGTAAATACAAAAACATTATGATTCTATTTATTAGGCGAAGACATCTCTGTAAATAAAGATACTAAATAAGTAAAAAAAATTAAGATACTAACCTAAATGTGCACCAAACTTAAATGTTATTCCACAAGGGAGAAAATTCTGTCAAATAGTCAGTGTGAACAGCCTGTTTAAGGTGACTCAGTAACCAGTAAATTTAATTTGAGTCCAGATTTTGAACTGAAACATGCAAAAGCTTTGTTGTTGTTGCTTTAGTTTGCTGTTGTTTGTTTTGTTTGCCCAAAGACAGAATCCCTGATGATATCTGAATCTCTGACCCGCCCCATAAACCAAAAGATATTGAGCTTCAGACCGCCAAATGATGACCCTGTCAGTAACCACGAGTAGTCCAGGTAACCCCGACAATCACTCTGCCACTACCGTGTTTTATGGTAGAATGTTGATATAAATTTGATGTAAGAGGACACAAACTCCATCCAAAAAGTTTCATTTTTTTTCTCCAAAAATGATTTTCTTTCCAAAATTTCCCAAACATCAATAGGATGGTTTGTGGCAAATACATTTGAGATGGACATTCACGTTCTTGTTGTTCAAAAGTAGTTTAAGACATTGAAGACACCATGATACAATTTCTAGTTCTTATTGGTAAAGCATGAACACTGTCATTCAAAAAGGCATGTTTTGTAGTTATCTTAGCCTTCTTAAAACTGCCACACAGCCTGTATTTAAATGTTTCACAGTTTCAGCAATTGGGGCAGGGTGGTCTGAAATGAAACATTCACTTTTTTTTGTATTGACAAAATGTATCTTTTTTTAAAATAAAACAAATCACCTGTAGGGAAAAACACATTTAATAAAAGCATATGCATATAGGTACAAATAAGCAAAGTTTATACAATAAAAACTAACTAAAAAAACTTTAATGTGACTTGTGGGCAGAGGGTTTTTCTTTTGGAGCAAGGATTTAAGCTTACAAAGGCTTTAGCTAGATTAGCAAAAGTGATAATGCTATAGTTAAATGGGTTAAATAAGACTTCTTAACCAGTACATGCTGGCAAAAAGCAGATCTTAGCAGCTTTTGACTTAAAGTTTGATATTAAATTTTGTTAGGATATTAAAAAATGTATCAACTACTTGAAATTTATGGAAAGCAAGCACTAATGCTAACGTCAAACTAGCTTGTGTGGTGAGGACTAGTCTTAGTTTTCTACAGGGCATAAATGCGATATTTGCAACAAAATCTGAAAAAAGATTAACAAAAATATTGTAGGCAAAGACAGCCAGATATAGTTGAGCCAGATGGTGCCAATTAACAGAACATAGCTGCTGTTTTTAGGGAAAAGGTTAAGTGACACCTCTGTAGGAAGGCATCATAATGTTTCTAATTATGTCTGTTACATTTTATTCATTCATCATTAACCAATTCTTATCTTTTTAACAGAGGATCAGATATTTTCACCGAAGATAATTCTGTCTGTAAGAGGATCTGACAAATGCTTCATCTGAGGCTCCTCTGCATCAATAAAACTTGATGTTCTGCACAAATGCAGTTTGAAAGCTGTTTTTATTATTCATGCAAATGTGGTATTCACCGATCTGAACTTGTAATTATAAATCTAAATGTGTGAATTTCATCAATCTTGTTATATTGTTATATTCTGATGTTGATTTGTTATATGCCTAAGCTACAGTATGCATTAGGTTTCTTGATTTCAGTAAAGTTAGAAACATTTAGTAAAATCAGAACAATCAAGTTCCCAAAAAATGCACATAGGAATACATCTGATAAGGAGAAAAAATATTTTAAATCCCTATACCTCTAACCTATCTGAGTCTTAAAATCAAGCTTGGTTTTCAAGGATCAGTGTTACATAAATTCATACAAACACTATATAGTTGTAATTTAAATAGTGTTTTTAAGCTGTTAAACTTACATATTGTGAGCACTCAATCATTGTTTAGCTCCACTCAAATAAAATACATTCACATTTTGCTGCCTTTTCTTTTCATTTTAACAACATTTTATTAATTAATCTATTTTCCCTCCTTGATTAATTAAAAATTCAAATTAAAGGACTTTTTTGCAACTTTTGTCATGGTTCCGACATTCTTCCAGGTGGAAATTTGAGATTATTTAGTTGAAAAACTGAAATGTTCATAGTACCGGTATTTGTAAAACAAGGATACCCAATTAGCTGGAAACAGTGTGCATTTTTGTGCACTGCAAAAACGATCTCTAAATTAGTAAAAATGTCTTAAATTAAGTCTATTTACCCTTAATTTGAGCAGGTAAATAAGATGATTTTCCAAAGGAATGAGTATTTTTACTTTTACAACAGCTATCTAGATAATATGCACTTGAAATAAGACAATGCAATTGTTTTTTTCTTGTTTAAAGTGTAAATTGGCAAAGTGTCTCACTTCAATCCTTAATTCAAGAAGAAATGCACTTATTTTAAGAAAAAATGACTTTAGATTTTATTTTATTTTTGCAGTGTGATGAGTCAGCTCAAACTTGTAATTCATGCTTGCATCCAGCCATCAATCATCAGTCTAGCTCCTTTCCACCTCAAGCTGTAATCAGTTCAAAGCTCCACTCATCCCTCAGAAACAGCCCTATTCTTTGTAAATTAGGAATTGTATTCAGCCCTGATAAGACTCTCTATCTGTTCCAGTGAGGAGATCTTCTGAGTGTTTTATTGTCCGCACTGATCAAAAGCCATGGTGCTATGTTAACATCTCAGCTCTCATAATTTAGATCCTGAGTGCCTGAGCTCTATCCCACATTTCAGCAGACAACAGCATCGCATTTTGCTGTAATTAGCCCTAATTATTAACTGAAAATGGTCTCAGACTTGTGAGACAATGTGTCCTAAACGGCTCGTTCATGGCAGCAGTCTGGGCCTGCTGCTGCTTCTGCTGGATGTTTAATTAAAAACGTGTGAAATGGTTAGACTCAGACATTAGATTATTTGGAGCACACGCCTGAAAGAGGCTAACAAATCCATTGTGGCCAAAGTGAATTAATAGAATCCATTTCTCTCCTTGTTTTCCTGCAGACCCTCAGGGTTGATGTTTGTGCCTCAGTCACTCCTCTTTTTCTGTTGCTGCGGCTCGTCTGAGACCTGATACAAATTCAAAAGGATCTGCTGCTTTGAAGATAAGCGCCGCAGCTCTGCCATAAACAATGATTGCGCTGTTACTTTCCTGTGGCGTGATTTATTTAAAGTATTATGCTGTAAGGATTTGGGCTGGTTTTTCCTGGCGGGCCCACTGTGTGTGTGTGTGTGTGTGTATCCTCAACCTGTAAGGCTTACTGGATAGTTTGGACTCAGGAAAACACTCAGGGAATCACAAGCAGAGTCATCAAAGTGAGACCTTTGACTCAGAGGGTCTGATATTTACCATTTCCCAAAGTACACACTGTTTTATGTCATGTAATTCACTTTAAGGACACATCTTGGTTTTACTTCAAACACTGGAAGGTGAATATATAAGAAATAAAAATATTTGGCTTCAAACACTGAATATTGTGCCCTGCAAAATTTCTTCCAAATCTTCTCACTTTGCAACCCCAAACTTTTATTTATTTTAATAAGTTTTATTTGATACACTATACACTTGGTCAGATTGAATCTTAAGTATTTCTGAGCAAACATTTCTGAATATTTCCATATATTCTCAATTGGACTTTGGTTTAGACTTTGACTAGGCCATTCAATCATAGTTTTAAGTCTTTTGCAGCTTGTAGTAACACAAAATTGTCAAACCCAAGTCCCGCAGACCAAATCTGGCCCACATGAGCAAATAAATTCAGGTTATGACACAAATTAGAAGTATACGTTTCTTTTAAGATGTCACAGTTGGTAAAACTGCAGTGTTTTTCAGTGTGTCATTTATAAAGCTACAACTGGCAAAGTTCAGTATTCCCGCTGGAGCATAATTTACCAGATATTGTGTGTTCAAGGTTGTGCACTTTGTATATAGATCAAAATGTCATATTTAGTCCTCAACTGATTCAAATACCATTTTTTTAAATGTTCTTTGTCTTCCTGTCATGACAAACTAAAACTGAACGAGATTGCTTCTTATAGTTTTTCTTTTCTCCACAATTTCATGAATGTACATTGAAGGAGTATAGTCTAGGTCCAGATCTGTCCGTTTAGGTTTGTGAAGTAAACTATGATGTTGGCTTGTTGGATTCTCACTGATGGACACAGTGCTGGAAAACTATGCTTTTTATGCTATGCTTTTTTTAAAAGAAAAACGAAGCATGGTTTGCTCATTGCTTAAAAAATATGTACTACTTGCATTGGTGCAGCACATAGAATGTTAAAACTATTTTAGATTTACAGCTGTAATATAAAAACAATAGAGATAGAAATGGTTTTGCAGGCTCCTCTATGCTTCCTTTACGATAAACTCCTCTCCCAATCTTGATAAAACACAAAGTTATTAATAGTTTGACATTTCGGTCTCTTTAAGATGTATGATTAAGTTGTCGGCATCATTTATAAAAACAGCCAGAAAGCCCTAATTCGTGTTGCAGAAACACATGGAACCCAAACCTGGCTAATTGAATAAACTGCCTTTATTTGGATCCGATGTGTCACTGTTATGTTTGTCGTGTGATTGTATTCCTATGACATGGGGGGATGGGAGTTAAGTTTGGAGGGGGCAGATGGATCTTTTGAACGTCCACTCCAGGATACAGCTGCATATGACTAATTTCAAACTCCCCCTTCTAGGGGCCCTATGCAAAGCCATTTCACAAGTAACACACATCACCAGGCATCTGTTTCCTGTTTTCATTCTTTGAGTTATCTTATTTTCCTTATTTCCCCCTCACCTGTTACAGTTCAAGTTCCTTCCATCATGCAGCTTTACCAATATACAAGGGCATTCAAAACAAAACATGTAATCACTTTCAACATAATGTTTATTCTGGGTAAATATAAAGAATGTTTTTAATGCAAACAACTATGAGGAGTAATATTTCAGCAGCTTCTCATCGGTTGGTTTCAGTATCTTCTTCTCTGGCATGTTAACGACCCAGCCTGGAGACAGGCCAAAGAAGATCTGTCGAACATCCTTCCTCATGGCCAGCATGTGACACAGTTCATCCTTTGAAATATCTGGCAGCACGTAGCCGTACTTCTGCGCCAGAGCGCGGCGGGCCTGCTGGATTTCTTCCGGATCTGCTAAGTAACCTCGGTTTTCAGCACTCATGTAATATGGAACCATGTTCTCCCCTGGCAGCATTCGCCTCGGGATCGGCTGCCCTCTCATGAAGAATGGGACGGGCTTGATAAGGATTCCTGTAAAAAATATATACATTTATTTCCACGCTTTTCATAAACAAACACTATACAGCATTAAATTTGTTGCATTATAATTGTTTGTTAGTTTACCGAGACTTATGGGATCATAGAAACTGGTGGTGATGACGCCTCCGTTCCGTTCGATGGCAGCTATGGCTCCTTCAGACGCTCTCTGAACCTCAATGTTGATTTTAGCTGCAAATATTTCTGAGCCCTGAAAGAAGGAAAAGTACATCTAAGCTGGAAAAGGGTCAACATCAGAGTCAATAAGCCACCTTTCCATTGGATAGAACCCCATCATGTGGCGCCCCCTGCTGCTGGTAATTGATCTCCTTGAAACCCACAATTATCTCCCTTATACACACTGAAATGGTTTTAAGTGGTTTTGTCTTTCATGCTTTGCTACAAAAAGTGGAACTCAGTGAAAATATTTTTGTCAGATTTTCTCCAATACATCTATTTGTTGTATATATTTAAAACACCCAACTTTTAAACACTGCTACCAAAAGCTGAATATCCATTATTTATTCAACAATGTGGTTTTGCTTAAAAGAAGCGCCTTAAAGGGTTATTCAGGAATTTGTCCAAGAGTTAAACACAAAGCTAAATGTAATTTTAAGGGATTTTAAAAAAGAAACCCAAAATAGTATTTGATTGCTAAGAGAAAAAAAAAGTGATGCAAGCCTCCCACCTTTTTATAGCATGTATACAAATGAATTGCATACCCAAACATCATTGGGCAGTAAAATCATATTTTAAATCATACATTCTTGTGATGCATCTCATTTGAAAGGTATGATGTCTCAGTTTTGGCAGATTTGTGTACTTAGGTGTAAGTCTTACACAAATTGCGATATGCAACTTCAAACGTGGAAAATAATTTTTTCCCTTGCATAAAAAAAATGCAATTTTTAATATTCTATATTTGGGTATAATTCATAGTTGACCTTTCCAACTCACAACACTTGTTGCTAATGTTGTGAAAAACAACTGTCAGATCTATGGTCCAAAGCAATGTGAAACTGTCACCCTTTATGTATTAAAAAGGTCCATTAGGCATAATTGAACCAAATTAGAACCAAAAGTGCCAAAGCGGATTATTTCTTTTTTTTGACCAATTTACAAAAAAATACACATTTCTACATGTAGCTTTACACACATTTTTATTGAAGCACTTTTAATAATAAGTCAAATTTTCAGCTTTCTGAATTTTGACAATGCTTT